CGATTGCGACCAAGCACACAGAACATCTGTACGCAACAGAGGTGGAAGTTAGTAACAGGTGTCAGGTTTAAATACGTATGTATACATGTGAAAATTAGTACCAGATTGCAGGTTTAAATACGTATGTACATATGTTGAAATTTGTACCAGATGACAGGTTTAAATACGTATGTATATATGTGGAAATTAGTATTAGGCGGCAGGCTTGATTACACTATATATGTATATATGTGGATTGCGAAGAACCATGCTAAATGACGGCTTGCCCTATTCTGCAGAATGCTGTTAAGCACGACAAAACTCTGAGTGGACTATTTAAGAAACTGACACAGTCAGAGCGACCCAAGACAAGGAGGCCGGAGGTGAGTGTCTTCATGCACAATGCACACACACGCATACACACATACACACACACACACAAAAATACATACACACACACACACACACACACACGCACACAGACAGACAGAGGCAGATTTACACACACACACACACACACACACACGTGTCGATCTCATCTCTGTGTTTGTATGCGTATTTGTTTGTATACGTTGTCAGGGAATCAAGCCCGGATGACCAGAGTGTAGTGCATATGTGTGTATGCAGGGTGTATACATTCATTGGTACAATTATGAAGTGAAGTGTGTGTTGGTAGGCTGTTCAGGCTATGCTGTATATACGTGCATGGGCTGTACTAGCGCACATAGCCAAAGTGCCACTTTGTTTGAGGTCTAAAGTGGGCCTTTTTTATAGTGAGCTTGTTACATGTTTCTTGTCCTTTTATCATATGTCCAATCAGAACAATACACCACGCGGTTGCCGCCTATACCAATGCTATAAGCATCGGCTCATTCACGCTCACACTCATACGATGTACATACGCCATAGTGTAGAGGGAATTCAGAAACTCACAAATCCGCATGCAAAACCACTTAACAGTACTTTATTAGTGTTCGTACCTGTTCACAATATGTCCATAGTCTGGACCAGAGCTGAGTTATGTTGTAGTCTCTGTCACTTTCTTTTGCGATAGGTATGGGCACCGGTTGCTTACAACTTGCATGTCCATACACAACCGAAATCGATACCAATCAGCTTCAGCAGTACGCGTGTACCGCCTATCACACCTCCATAGCGTTCTAACGACAATCTCTCGATACCCGACCTGACATGCTGCCTGAAACGATTGCCTAGATTGCCTACTAGGTGTCTAGTGTATTAGTTTGTAACGCATGCTGCCCAAAACGTTTATGTTGACTGAGGCATCCAGATACACACCTTCCAGCCAATTACCTAATGGGGCACCATGACTCATGTTCTTTCTCTATACCCAACAGACTGCACACAGTGCTTTCCAAGTGGACGGAGCAGCGAGATTCGATGATTCGGTGTTGAATCCGAAGGACGATATAACTGATATACCACTAGAGGATGAATTTGACGAGTCTACAAATAGCACCATCTGGGTGTAGCGAGCATAGTATATGTAGTATACATGGTAAACCAACCATAAAGCATCTTATAGTAAACCAGCCATAAAGCATATTATAGTATACCAACCATAAAGCATCTCATTAAAAAATCAATCATGAAGCATCTTATCGTAAACCAACCATAAAGCATCTTATAGTAAACCAATCATAAAGCATCCTTTTATAGTAAACCAACCATAAAGCATCTTTATATAGTAAACCAACCTTACAGCATCTCATAGTAAACCAACCATAAAGCATTTTATAGTAAACCAACCATCAAGCATCTTATAGTAAACCAACCATAAAGCATCTTATAGTAAACCAACCATAAGGCATCTCATAGTAAACCAACCATTAAGCATCTTATAGTAAACCAACCATAAAGCACCTTATAGTAAACCAATCATAAATCGTCTTGTTCAATTAGAGACCAAATACACTACATACGCATATCTGTGTAGGACAGCCGAGTTGACTTCGAATTCTTTGTTCCTTCACTGGGTATGCATGTTGTTCGGACATGTTAGTGTATGGGAAGGGGTTAAAGGGGGTTCGTTTGTAGTTTCTTTATATATTTGTCATGTCTCCTTTAGAAGCTATGTCGCTGTGTACGCATATTGTTCAGGCGTGTTAGCGTATGGGAAGGGTTTAAGGAATTTATTTTTGTAGTTTCTTTATATATTTGTCATGTCTCCTTTAGAAGCTATGTCGCTGTGTACGCATATTGTTCAGGCGTGTTAGCGTATGGGAAGGGTTTAAGGGATTTATTTTTGTAGTTTCTTTATATACCTGTCATGTCTCATTCAGAAGCTATGAATTGGTCGTGTGTTTTGTGAGCTCGTTCGGATGATGTTGTTGTCCGTTAGCATACGAATTTGCTACAAAGTAACACCGATTTTCGACCCAAAAGAGGTGTAAATCTGCTGACAAGAACGGTATACACTATTATCTTTTGGTCACATAATTGAGAATATGGCCACTTAAACACACAACAAGTAGTAGGGAAATAAAAAATGATAAGTGTTAAGCGTACAATTAGTAGTAGAGTAATAAGATATGCCCTTGTTAAACACACAACACATAGTAGGATAATAAGACATGGCCGTGTTAAACATACAAGTAGTAGGGTAAAAAGACACGATAGTGTAAAACACTCAACACAAGTAATAGGGTTATAAGACACGATAGTGTAAAACACTCAACACAAGTAATAGGGTTATAAGACACGATAGCATTAAACACACAAATAATAGTAGGGTAACAAGACGTGATCGTGTTAAACACCTAAAAAATAGTAGGGTAATACGACACAATAGTGTTCGCATATTTATTCACCTATTTGACGTAGCATTTACAAGTGAAACGCTTTGCATCTTAGACACCCATGCTACTACTATAATTAGATATCCAAGATTTCGAATATCCTTTCACACACAAAGTTAGTGCTGTACTAGTATACAGCCTAAACACTTCAGTAGACCTCCTGCTTTTAGCGATGTAGCACTGAATACAACGACGAACAGATAGAAATATATTTACCACGTCATGTCTTATATACCAGTACAGCCTACCACACAAGAAGAGACATGCTATATACACCACATTCCTATCGAACAGTTACCATGGCGAAGTATTGAGCTATGTATTTCACAACAGTCATAGTGAAGTATTGAGCTATATGCATTTCTCAGTCGTAATGAAGTAGCTTATATAAGTTGTCGTTCGTACATAGTAATTATAGGAAAAAAGAGATGTCGCGATATATTTTTATATGTATTTATTACATTTTATTTTGTATATATAAATGTACATATATAGTTTTGATTGGATACCACGGACACTAGTGTTTAATGCCGGTCTTATCCAAAAACGAAACAAATAAACACAAACCCACATTTGATTACCAAATAATAATCATATAAATACCAACTATTTGACTTTACATCTAGTACATACCTGGGCGGATTCCTTGGAGCTCATGCAGTCCAAGGTTTAGAAGGGAGGTGTTCGCCATTCGCACTGAGGCTTACGATCCCTTTTACACATCGACAAATGTCTTTGTGTGCGTCTGAATTCGTTTGATGCGGCACTCTGGTGTCACTTATCGACGGTTACTTATTTTTTAAAAATCATATACAACATTATATAGTAAAGAAATATGTTTGTGCTTCATTTGCATTTGAGAGGAGAGCTTTTAGTCCGTACGAACTACGAAGAGGTGCGCAAGGATTAAGCTTAGTTCATAATGAATCATCGCACATACAATGCCAATCACATTCCCACAGCGGAAGCTTACTCTAACATGTTATTGTTAGTCAGTATAAAAGGTCGTGGAGGGTCATACAGTGCCTGGTTTTATACACGCGCGTTCTTTCCCACGCGTATGCAAATATACTTGCAATCCACTGGCTATATGTGCGGTGTATGGCTGTACGCACAGGAGTGAGCGGATGTAGTTTTATGAAATTGCTCAGCACATTGTAATTGTATTCAAACTAGGTATGAACGGTATATGATATGCTTAAGATTGAACAAAACTAGTCTGATAAATTTGTATGCGTGTTTGGGCAGGGGAAATTATATTCCTAGAAGCGTTCAAGACAAACAGATTCTATAAATGTGAATTATGCATCGATAATCCAAAGTGTACCTGTGTGTTAAGTGCAAGATGTCGCCCTGGCGTTTCCACGGAATCAAACACAAAATAATAATGGTTTTTATTAGCTCATAGGTAGAGTTGAAGCGTTTTGCTTGGCTCGACTAGAAACACTACACTCATACTTATTGTATGAAGTACGGAGCGAGTAAACCAGTACTGCATAAATATTCAAGAACACAAAAAGAGTTAGTCAGCCTTGTTACACAAACATTCAAGTATATATTCGGCGATGTATATTAATATTCGAACCTGTATATAGTCACGTAAAAGGTGGTCACAATTGCATGCACAGGCTTCCATTTCGTCTACGTCGACAGTTCAAGCAAAAGCCCGGCATGGATATACGGCGTTCAGGTGTAACGGTGCCACTAATGGCATATTAAGAACACCCCCCCTTCAGTTTGCTCATATATCGCGTGCCTACGGATATGTTTATAGACGGGTGTATTACAGGTGTTGTTGAAATGTATAGCGGTGTGGACACGTTCATAGCCTGTGAGTTCAGTTGCACCTCACTACTAACTCGGGACGAATTCCGACTTTGTAAATAAAAATTACTCGGGTTATACCACTTGCGCACCGGTTTGGTCAGAATCCCCTAACCTCCAGAATCTACTATCTCTTGTAAATAAAATGGAAACTCTCTTATATTTATTAGCAAAGAGCTGGAACCATGGTGTAAAAATTGCCAAGAACGAGCTCAAATACATATACAAACATACACGATTGTGTACACACGCGCACACACCGACACCGACACAAAACAAAAACAAAAACAGAGACATATATATGTATG